ATGTTGTAGACATGGCAGAGCTTCAAAACGAAATTATTTCCAAACGCTTTTAACAGCATTTTTAAACAGAATTTAATTAAAAAAATAAAATTTCATTCAACACCGGCCTCTCCACCTTCTTTGATATATCCCTATTTCTCATATCTGAAGGAAATGGGGGGAAGGTGCCAAAAAAGATTCCTTTTACCTCCCTTCAAATCAAGAGAAGGCCTGATGACTACATACAAAGAATTTGGGTTTCAGGCACACTGTTAACTTGCCTCAACACACAGGCAAATAATTTGCTACAGATTGAAACATTGCTCTATTTAAATCAACTTCCTGCCTATTAATAGCCGTGAAACACTAGAACATATTACTGTACCAGTAAAGCCTTAGGCCCGCTCAGATCTTTTTAAAGTGAGGCAACACACAAATACATGCATAGTCACATACATACCTAACACTGCATGGCACAATCTCCTTTAAGAATTCAAAGAGCAAAATCAACAGTCTGAATTGATTTGGAACTAGAAATAAGGACCAAGTGAATTTCTAATAGCCCTCCACATGCCAAAGTTCCCAACGTTTACTTGTTTATATCCATACTTCCCTTCACTGCCTGTGTGCTAATCATAGCAACAGTACTTCCTGGAGTCCTTTATTTACATGGGAATTTCCTGCTGACCTCTGGCATCTCCCTGCTCCTGCTCCACCTCCACCTATACAAACACACACAGACACATGTACAAATGGCTGCAAACACTTTGGGATTTGCAGTGCAAAGGAAATGAGCATCACATAACTTCCTCCCTCCCTCCCACCTCCTTCTCCCTCTCTCCCTCTCTCATGTTGTGTGATCCATTCATCATTCTGTATAATTAGGCAAATAAAAAGATACCTTTGTTTTGACTTGATTTGCTGTTCTTTTCAGGTTCCTTATGTGCATAGATACAAGAAAAAAACATGGTACCTTTGTGCAGCATGTGATTCGTCAGGAAATTCCTTCTGCCACGATGTGTGGGTGGGGAGAACGTTTGGTGATGTGATACAGATGCACAGGCTGCCCTTCGCCAGCAATGCAGATGTGTTTTATATGCACATGCCCAGATGGTGACCCCTCTGGCATTATTAATGTGTCCCAGCTGCCAGGCCTCCTCTCGCATGCATACACCTCGATTTCACATATTTCGTGTGTTTATTTATGAGGCACCAAATTCCTACATTTCATATGTGGCAGTTGCTATTAAAAATGAGAAGTTTTAACTGCTCTGGAAATTGATAACCTTTTAAATTGATATGAAATGTGGCCCTCATTTCAAAATGACTCCTCATAGAATTAATTGAATTCATAATGCAAATTTCTGACCTTTCCCCTTACATGTTGAGAAAATATGGCATTGGGTATACACTTAGTTAAGAAATCAAATATTTTCATACCTGATATGTTATAATGTTCTTTTGCTTTCCCTTTGTTTCTGACCTCTAAGGCCTATTTTTAAGAAGTGGGATGTCTGTACATTTGACATTGCTATGCACTGCTAATTAAACCCAGGCATCAAGTAAGAGAAATTTGGGATCATCTAGAAATGGGTTGTACTTTTATAGCTCCACAATGAGACCTAGTATTATAAAAATATAATCCAATCATTGCTCCAAAATATTATAGATTGTAATAACTCCATGGATTTGAGGAAATGGATTAGTCTTGTCAATTTTAGCTTATGATCTAAAGTATAAAAATAGGAGCATGGCAGTTTTGCTGAATTAAAATGAACTGACTCTTACTATTACAAAAAATTTCAGTATTTTTATGGGGAAATGTAAAGATGAATCAAATTGTTCAAACAGAAAGATGAAAAATGCAAAAGATCGATGATCAGGTTTTGCAAGATGAAGTTCATGTCTGTTTCCTTTTTTTTTTTTTTCATGTTTATTTATTTACTTTGAGAGAAAGCATGTGTGTGCACAAGCAGGGAAGGGGCAGAGAGAGAGAGGGAAAGAGAGGATCTGAAGCAGGCCCAATGATGTCAACACAGAGCCTGACGTGGGGCTTGATTCCACGAACTGTGAGATCATGACCTGAGCCCATTTCAAGAGTCAGGTGCTCAACCGACTGAGCCACCCAGGTGCCCTTTTTGTTTCCTTTTTTAATATCAGAGATAATGAACTAAAAAAGTCAGAAAACATATCACTTATCATAGATTGCTATCTCCAAAATCAGCTATGGGAAATAAATGACCAAAATTCTGGTGTGATTTTCTTTTAAGGGGCTGTACACCTTTATTAGCAATAGCAGAGGGTCAGAGTTGCTAATGCTGAGTGCTAAAGTAGACACAAATGGAGTCTTAACTACCTACTATGTGGTCTCTGGTCCTCAGGAACAGTATTCTACTTCCTTAAGTAAAGCTGTTTGTCCTGTTTGGATATATATTTATCTTGATTTCATAAATAAAGGTGCTAACTCACATATTAGCTATAACCACACTCACAAGGTAGGATGGAAAATTAAAGCAATTAAAAGCATACCCTTGAGATAACGTGGGTTCAGTTCCAGACCACCACAATAAAGCAAGTATCACAATAAAGAGAGTCGAATGAACTTTTTGGTGTTCCAGTGCAAATCACAGTTACATTCACAGTATACAGTAGTCTATTAAGTGTGTAATCACCTCATGTCTAAAAAACAATGTACTTACCTTAATTAGAAAATATTGCTAAAAAAAAATACTAACCATCACCTGAGCTTTCAGTGAATTGCAATCACGGATCACAGATCACTGTAGCAAATATAATAATAATGAAAAGGCTTGAAATATTGCCAGGATTACCAAAATATGACACAGAGACACAAAGTGAGCAAATGCTGTTGGAAAAATGGCGTGATGGGTGCGCTGGACATAGGTTGCCACAGACGTTCAATTTGTAAAAACATGGTATCCGCGAAGCTCAATGAATCAAGGCACGTTTGTATCTGACTAATTTAGGCAAGAGTAAAGAATACTCTTCCCTGACTCTGTGCTGACAGCATGGAGCTTGCCTGGGATTCTCTCTCCCTATCTCTCTGCCCCTCCCCCACTGCGCACCCATACACTCTCTTCCTCAAAATTAAATAAACTTAAAAAAAAAAAAATACTATTCCTTGAAAGTACTGCCAGGAATTTGAAAACAAAAAAGGGAGGTTATAGGGTATTTTTCCTCCCACACTCTCCAGACAATCACCTTAGATTGGCTCCATGTGTATTTTTGTTCAAATGCATGTTTTATAACAACTCTCGTGTTCTCCCAAAGATTTAGAGCAACTGTCAGAAGACTTCATATCAGTTCATTTATGGGGATGAAGCAATAAAAAAAATGAAAAACCTTGGAAATGTCTTCTTATTTGATGTGGAAAGAGGAACGGCTATGGCCTTGTCTTTTTCATGCACATCTTGAAGTCTTATCAAATAATTTTGGTTATGACCTTAAGGCTATTATGACCAAGACCTTATTAAAGGACCCAAAATTATATCCATAGGCTTTTGTTCCTCAGCTGCCCCCTTTTATCACAAAGATGAAGTAGAAGGAAGGAAGGAAGGAAGGAAGGAAGGAAGGAAGGAAGGAAGGAAGGAAAGAAAGAAAGAAAGAAAGAAAGAAAGAAAGAAAGAAAGAAAAGGAAGGAAAGAAAGAAAAGAAAGAAGAGAAAGAAAAGAAAGAAAGATGAAGGAAGGAAGGAAGGAGGGAAGGAAGGAAAAGAGAGAAAGAAAGAAAAAGAAAGAAAGAAAGAAAGAAAGAAAGAAAGAAAGAGAAAGAAAGAAAGAAAAAGGCAAATCAATAACATCAGTCTTTGTTATACTCAGATGAAAAATACACGAAATACATGCCCTAACAACTGCTTCCACACCACTGGCAGACATAACTAAGCAATCATGATGCTCTCTCCACTACCCCAGGACCCAGGCTCAGAATGCTCCTCAACAGAGCATTGCCAGGGGCCACTGCCAATTCAAGTCCACACCTGAGACAAAACCTCTTTGCCATCCCTCTCTTACTTTGGTGCTGAGCAAGTAATAGGGGGTTAGTCTGCATGTGCTAAAACATAAGACCAGAGGTTATTGCTGGCTGTCTTTTCACAAGAGAGGTAATAGCTGGCATATTAAGCCTGGTCTAAAGAATGGGAGCATCACTATGGTAACCATATCAACTTGTTGACTCACAACCCATCAGCTCAGTCTACCCTGCTTCCTGCCACATGAGAGTAGGGCCAGCCGACTTAAAGAACCCTCTGAAGGTGACTTGGACTCAGGTCGGTGGTACAGGCCACGAAGGAGTTACACACAGATGAATAGGGAAGAGTTTGATCCCCACCTTGGCTTGCCTGGAAAAGGCAAAACAAAAGCAAAGGAAAGACAAGAAGCAAAAGGTGGGCTGCAAATCCAATAGTCAAGGGTGAGGGGGCCCCACAGTTGGGACTCCAAGGTTCACCCTGCAGAGTGCACTGGGAAGCAGGCAGAAGAGGTCCCAGAAGCTGCTGTGATGCCACTTCCTCCCTTTGATGTCACCATGTATTTGCACACGTGTACATGATAGCAACAACAGACCCTTGGCTCCATATATTACAGTACTGTTTCCAGAGCACTTTCCCATCCATGGTCTCATTTGATCCCCACCTCAGCGTAAGCAAGAAGGGCAGGCATTGTTATCCCTAATTTTACAACAAAAGTGAGGCTCACTTGTCCAAAACCACACCGCTTTTGAAGCCCAAAGTTGCTTTCATCTGAACTATCCCGGAGAAAAGAGGTAAAAGAAAAATGAATGTTTTGGATGATTTCCCATTTGAATTTTCAGACCACCATACTAATTCCTTCCAAAACTTAGCATGTATAGAAGAGCTTACAGCTGGATGGTGACCCAGTTGCATGTTATAGACCAGATGGTGACAGTGGTTTCCCCCAGAGTAGCTTCTGAATCATTTAATAGTGGACATGATATTCTGGGCCCTCAATCATTGAAAGAGACTTTCTGTTCATTTTTTCTGACAGCTGGTGACACTGTTGCAGATGTGGGTTGTCCCTCTGTATTTCACGATAAAACTTTACTGGTGGCGGTTTCTGTCTATGTGGGGAATGTTCTCAGTTATTACCAGTTACGTCCTCTTCAGAGCTACCCGAAAACCCCTCTCAGGGAGAACACCAAGGTATGTATCCCACTCGTTCCTTCCCTGACACCCTCTTTATTATAAACATTAAGAAGTATACTTTAATTCCATTTTCCCGGATGGGGGAGGGGGCATCACACTTTTTTTTGCCCTTCAGTAGCAAAACTATTTGGAGATTAGCTATACCACTGTTTATGCTCATTGTTTAATGGCGATTTGGACATACCTGTAAAATCTATTACTTCAGATACTAATGACAGCCAGAAGAAAGAGAAGCCAAACTATGGTTTAAACTTTCTAGAACAAAGGGGCGCCTGGGTGGCTCCATCCGTTAAACATCCAACTTAAGCGTCCAACTTCGGCGCAGGTCATGATCTGTCAGTCTGTGAGTTCAAACCCTGTGTGGGGCTCTGTGCTGATAGTTCAGAGCCTGGAGCCTGCTTCGGATTCTGTGTCTCCCCCTCTCTCTGCCCCTTCCCCCTGTCACACTCTGTCTCTCTTTCTCTTCCTCGAAACTAAATAAACATTAAAAAAATTTTTTTAACTTTCTAGAACACTATTTGCATATTTATTTTTAGCTCAGCATTTTGTATGATTCCATCATAAGTTGTGTCACACACATTTTATAATAGAGCAAGAGTTAGATGTTTGTATTTCTAACAACTATATATGTATTTTATTTCGGGTAAATCATAAGTAATGGCCAACTTACTCCTCTCATAACAAATGAGGCTTTAATATTCCAATGCTTATCTTAACTACCATTGCCAACCTCTTCTATAATTCCATTATATTGTCCACAAATCATTCCAAAGTGCTTATAATCTCATAATGTGCCCACAAATTTGCTTTCGCTCTCCTTGTTCTGCAGATAAGATCTGAATCTAAATCTAGATAAAACTGAAATGGGATAGAGAGAAAATGTGTAAGGCATTACATGGCAATAAGACAATGTCACATTTTGATCTTGGTTGGAGAACAAATCATAAGCTCCTGTGAAATGTTTTTAGGATTATTTAGCTATTCAGATGTTTGTTTTTAATCCTCAAAAAAAGTGGGAGAGACGGATATCAACTTTTCCTACTCTGGAGAAGAAAAAATATTCAGTGAGAAAAGTCAAATAAATCAATGTAATGATAAAGATTGATATTCAAGGGGAGCCTGGCTGGCTCAGTTGGAAGAGCATGCAGTTAGTGATGTCATGGCCATGAGTTCAAGCCCCATATTGGGTGTAGAGTTTATTATAAATAAATAAATAAATAAATAAATAAATAAATAAATAAATAAATGAAATTTAAAAATTTATATTCAAATACATGAATTCTGGTTAATATTTTAATTTAATCCCATTTGGGAAGAGCTCTGAGGTGGTGGTAGGAGACCTCCTGAACTGGCCGATTTGGGGCTTTAGACAGCCTTTGTATGGCCTGGTTTACCCATCTGTACATGGATATATGGTACCTTTCCTCCTTCTTAAAAAATATTGGAAGTTATTTAAAACTTGTGAAAGTGATCCAAATTTTGGATGAGCCAAAATGCACTTGCTTTCATTCCCTGGATATAATCTATATTGTATTTCAGAGAGAACAGTTCACTTCTCCACTGTAGAATGAATTACCCCAGTTAAACGCAGTATTTCTGTGCACATGAGCGCATTCAATGCAGAGGAACTTCATGACAAGAAATAGCCAAATGCTCCCTCATTACTCTCCATGGCTCATGTGTCTCAGATGGCGGGGCCCCTGTCCTCTGTTCCTCATGCCCACAGGGCATACAGTTCAGCTTCTCCTGCCTGCACAGCCCTGACCCCAGCATAGCCTGACAGACAACACGTTCCACTAACATTTAAAAAAAGACCTACAGCCACCATTTGAAGAGACAACAATAGGAGAGGCTAATTAGGACCCCATTTCTTCTAGAAAAGCAGTCTGGATAAAGAAGCTCCTGTTGATGAGTGGTAGTAGGCCCTAACGATCCTTATGGATCTTTGATCATATCATAGGTAAGTCACTTCTTAGCTATTTTCCATTAGGAAACAGGATTTCATTACTGGCTAGTTAAGCTGATCAGATCTAACGGGCATGGTGCAAAAGCAAACCCAAGAGGAGTGGTCTCTCACACCAATGCAGTTTGTTTGTTTGTTTGTTTGTTTTAACATTTATTTATTTTTTTGAGACAGAGAGAGACAGAGCATGAACGGGGGAGGGGCAGAGAGAGAGGGAGACACAGAATCGGAAACAGGCTCCACGCTCCGAGCCATCAGCTCAGAGCCTGATGCGGGGCTCGAACTCACGGACTGCGAGATCATGACCTGGCTGAAGTCGGACGCTCAACCGACTGCGCCACCCAGGCGCCCCAACCAATGCAGTTTAAAAACCAGTGTTCCTCCCGCATAGTATACCAAGCCCTTGCTGTGAGGCAGAGTAACAGAGTAGGGTTCAGGCTCAAAAACCCTGAAAGAGTTCAGGCTCAAAAACCGCCACAAAGAGCTGGGCTTGGTCACATCAACTCCAGGCGGAGCTTTCCTTTTGGAGGCTGCTCTGAAGCACAAACACAATTCCTAACCTGGTTTCTCTGCCTTCCAGTGTGATCTAAGTAACGAGGGAGTTCTGGACTCCAGTGCTCTAGAAACTTGTACTCCCCGTAAGCAGGGGGATTTGGGGGTGGGGGATTTGGAAAATCTAACATACCTGTAATAATTATATGCATATTGAGCATTAAATGTGTCAGATCTTTTGAACATTAACACATGATCTCACATAATCTTCAGAACTACCTTAGGAGCTAGTGCTATCCCCCCACTCTATGAATGAGGCAATCATAGGAGGAAGTCCTAAGTAGGGTGGCCAGAGTCCCACAGGCAGTAACGGGAAGGGGGAGCCCAGAATCATACCAATACCAGACAGAGTGTGAACCACCCGCCCGCCTGGCTCCCAACAGCAGGTTTTGCCTTAATGACACACAGAAGGCCTGCAGTTAAAAAGTTGAAACACCTGTGATGCTGGCACAACCTTGCGAGGGGACCCTGTAGGGGCAGAGCAGGTACGAGAAGTCCAGGACGTGTGGAGTTCCCGAAGCCGACTCTGGTGCTGGCGGGTGCTGTGGGGGAGAAGGGGAGGCCCTCTCGGACCTGGCCCCCCTCCCATGCTCACCTCTTGGAGCAACGTAAACTTCCGCCTCCATCTGGCTGCGCTGAGCAGTGATCCGAACTGCCTTCCCAGGAACTGGCAACCTAGAAGGACCGGCAGGCTCGAGAGTCACTGTGGCAGAGAGATCCCCAAAGCCCCGCCTGCCCTCCTTTAGAGGTGACTTAGGCTCAGAGCGACCTGACCCACCACGTGCCGTCCGTGCGGAGTTTCTGGACCCTCCGAACTCCCCACTGCCGATCCCTCCCCCATGGGGCGGGACTACACCTGCAGGAGGAGGCGTGGCCCACAAAACCCTGGTACCAAGTGCCCTGAAGTGGGGAAGCTTTCCACCATAAAATGATGTAATGACAAGTCGTTTCTCAAGCCAGCCCACAAACCCCATTCACAGCATCATGTTTCAGAAGGTCCCTCCTTTTTTTTTTTTCCCCCTCTTTTCTTTTTCTTCATGCCCAGCACGGAGCTCAAGACAGCTTGAATTCAAGACCCTGGGATTAAGACCTGAGCTGAGATCAAGAGTCCAGTCGATGTTTAACCGACTGAGCCCCACCCAGGCACCCCTCAGCAGGCCCCTTCTGACTGGAATTCAATGAAGCAGGGCATCTTTTAAAATAACATTGAAACATTAAATCAGTAAAAACAGAAAATAAGCATTTGGTGCAATAAAGGCGGGAACCTGGCTCCCGAAAAGTGTGGAGGGAGAGCTGAGAGGCCGGCCTGCCTCTTGCCCTCCAGCTCCCTTGGAAGCAGCAGTCCAGCCACCGCCTTCTTTTCTCTGGGCACAAGGACAGTCCCCCAGCTGCTCCTTCTCCTCCCATCACTTCTCGTTCCACCGGCCAGAACCTTGTCCTGTGGCACCACGAATGAATCTTCCCACATCCTCCCAGACATGAAGCAGTCGCCCTTTCTGTAGGTTTTCAAAGGGCTTTTACTGCCAGGGATAAGGGAAACAAGCAGGGTAAGGAGGTCCCTTCTAAATCATCTACACCTGTGCCCTCAATCCCCATCTCCCATTTCTCTACTCTGACCCTGTGGGAAGAAGGAAAGGTGCTAAGAGTGGTCACTGTATGCGCTGGGATACACAAAGAACCCACCCACATAGCAGGAGAAAACCAGCCCGTGGCACACTTGTGATTCCATCCCAGGGCTAGGGGAGGGGCTCTGTGAGTGGAGAGGAGTTGGGGTGAGGCTGAGCCTGATAATGAGGACCTCTGTCCTTGGGCTGGGGGGTGGAGAGGCAGCGGTAGCAGGCAACACTCCTGGGGGAGGAGGTTCCCCCCTGCCCCACAGCCTTGACTTCTCTGCTCATCTTTTGCTTACTCTAAGCTACTCCTGCCAAAACCACTCTAAGCTAACCCTAGGGCAGGGGAGGAGGGGTAGGGGAGGCAGGGTTCCAGGTGGAGAAACCATCTCTGAACACCACTCTAACATGAGGAACATAGACAAACTGCAATGAATATATGTATGCACGTGCATACTATTTAGTTTGTTGTTATTATATTAAAACCATAGATTATTATTGAGTTTAGCTGATATAATCTACTTATGTTCTTTATATTACATAATAAATAGAATTCTAGAAATTAAAAACCGACTTATAACAATGTTTGAAAAAGATAAAATATCATGTTCTGTATTTCTCCCCATTTTACATCCACAGATTGGTCTACAAATGGTTTCTTCTAATCTACAAACTCAGCTATGCATTTGGTGTTGTGGGTTATTTGGCCATCATGTTTACAATGTGTGGATTCAATTTATTTTTCAAGTAAGTATCTCCAATTAAGACATTAATATCTCCAAGCACTTGCTTGCAATATTCACCTGGTCAAGTTCTCTGTATCGGGGATCATTTGGCCCTACAATGTTCCATACACACATTGTTTATAGTAGATGTCATTAGAAAAGTAGATGCCACTAGAAAAGTATAAGAGGAAACCCTACAGAATAAAAAGTTTTCAAAAAATTATAAGCTTTAAAGAAAATCTGTACTTGAGGGGCGCCTGGGTGGCTCAGTTGGCTAAGCGTCTGACTTTGATTCAGGTCATGATCTCGAGGCTCGTGGGTTTGAGCCCCACGTCAGGGTCTCTGTTGTCAGTGCAAAGCCAGCTTCGGTTCCTGTCTCCCTCTGTCTGCCCCTCCCCAGCTCATGCTTTCTCTGTGTCTCAAAAATAATAAATAAAAACATCAAAAAACTTTAAAAAAAAAATCTGTACCTGATAGGCAAATTTTGAACATCACCATTAAAAGCAGGCCTACATTTGCGGTAGAGTAATTCTTATAGAACTACAAATTTCCCTCCATAAAATTCTGAAGTGTCATTTCCTTGTATATATCTTCTTCCTTGAAAACCTCTGGAACTATGCTGTCCAGTGCAGTATACGATAGGTCATGTCACTATGAGCATCTAAACTATGAAATAAAATGTTCTAGAACTATAAGATACAAACTGGATTTCAAAGTTTGAAAAATACTGTTAAAAAAATAAAAAGAGAAAATAATTTTTATATCGACCACATGTTGAAATACAGTGTTTGGGATGTATTGGTGAAATTATTTCATGGGTTTTTTTTAATGTGACTAGTAGGACATTTTTCAATCTGTATTTCTATATTGCCGGGATCAGCACTGCTCTAGGATTTTGTTTCTGGTACCTATGAAGTCCCTTTTGCTGGGGACAGTCAGAAAAGGACAAAACTAAGTGCTTAGAACTTGAATGAGAGGTAAGGAAATAACAGAACAAGAAAGTCTTGTGAGAAATCAAGGAAATCAGGATAATTATAACTCAGAACTGAGCTCCTTGAAAAAATGGTTGCTGAGATGTGCTGTGGACGAGGTTCTCATGGGCAGAGCCAAGGCTGTGTAATCAACCTGTGGCCTGGAAAGGAAATTTAAGACATACCACAAGGCTGTGGAAAGCAGCTCAAATAAAAATTCCCCAGAATATCTCTCACATTGAAGTTCCTCTGGGACCTTACCAGAAATCAAAAGGCAAACAACTCATAAAATAGGTCAGGCAATTGGATGGAGTGTCAGCTCTGAAAGGAAGGACTCTTCCTACGGCAACGTAGCAATCTGATTTTATGAGCATTTCATGAAAGTTTCACAGCAGGAGCTCTTACCATTTTCTATCAGGAAAGGGATAGAAAGTGACTGTACAGATCTATGATTAATATATTATTCTGTGTATAGAAAGACACTGATTTCTTTTGTTTTTCAGCATATTGTCCATATAACTTTATTTTAGTGAATGTAAAAATATTCATAAGGAATTTTATGAAATCACTGAGCCTACAGTTGTCCCAAGACTACTTTCCATAAGATATAAGTTCCTTAACCATGACCTTTCCTACAACGAGGCATAGCAAGAACTTAACCCTTCAGGCTGGGAAGGAACTAGTCCTCCCCTGAACATGGGGAGAAGATCATCTTCATTCCTCCCCACTATCTCAATTCTCAAATATACCCAGGCAAATCTTGAAAGGATAAAGCCACCACTTGCGTTGGAATTCCCAGTTCCCATCACAAAAAGAGCTGTACCCTCTAAGTCTACAAACTCTCTGCCTTGACCATTTCCTCCTCAAATTCACAGAGCACGAAACAACTAGAAAAAGTTTCCAGGACCGACCTACCAGCTCTCCTCCACTCCTCCCTCCCTTTCTGACTCCGTCAGATCTACCCAGGCCCAGGGCTAATATTTGAAGCTGTTGAGAGATATAACAAACCATATGTGCAATGATTAAGACTCAGAAATTAAATTAGGGGCTAATTACTTTTTAAAGAAGTGTTTCTCTTTAAAATGGGATGCAGGGGAATCCTATTATATTTGAAATATGATGCAACTTGCAAAATATTTTTTTTCTGATTGACACGTAGTCACTATGGCATAGTAGCAAAGGGCCTCAAAATTGAAGTGTGATCCCTGGTTTTGTTTTGTACCAATCGTCATGTTAAGCAAATCATTTTTTCTAAATCTCCATTTTTTCAAATGCAAATGAGGTAGCTAATCATATCCACCTCAAATATTTGTTAGGCAAGTGAAGTATTTGAAAGTATTCTGTAAAATCTAAGCTTGATAGCAGGGATTCTCAACCTGAGAAGTTTCTAAAAAGCACTGCTGTGCAGACCCCACCCCAGGCCACGTACATCACAGCTCCAGAGCAGCAGAGTCTTAAATCTCCCCAGGTGATTCTAATCTATATTTAAGGCTGAGAAACACTACTCCGTTAAAGAAGTTCTTAATGCTAGCTGCCCACTGGAATCACCTGGAGTCTGGAGAGCTTCCAAAAATATTGCTGCACAGGCTCCACCCCGAGAGTCTGATGTAATTGGCCTGGGGTGCAGGGGGGAGATGAGGAGTTTTACAAGCTGCGCAGGCCTTTCTTTGAACAGCCCAGCTTCAAAACCACCAGTTAAAAGACCCTCTCAAGAATTACTTCGCCTACTTACCATGGAGTGGTAACATTTGAAGAGAATTTAGAGACTTTAAGAGGCTTTAAAAAATCAATTAAAGTCTAAAAAATCAGTTAAAAAAAGTACTCCCAACTTTCTGTTCGAGACTGTGGCAGGAAATTTCTTCTAAGCTGCAACCCTTCTCGAGCCCCTCATATACCACGTTCTTATTTCCTTACCCTGTCATTTTCAATAGAATCAAGGCTAGAGATTCCATGGATTTTGGCATTGTATCCTTATTCTATGGCCTCTACTATGGCGTAATGGGGAGAGATTTTGCAGAGATCTGTTCGGATTACATGGCTTCTACTATAGGGGTAAGTGTTGCTTTCATTCTCTGAAACTACTTATGGAGCATGGAGAAATGGTCTCATCTTACACATTTGCATCCATTTTCGGAGACAGAGAAGTCTTTTTTTGGTTCTCCCAGACCAACTGCTCCCTAATTCTCCTTGCATCAAAAATTATCTTTGCTAGTTGATTAGAAAATATACTTCCTATTTATAGAAATTTGTTGGGAAATAAGGTTTTATTTATTTACTTACTTACTTTCAAATAATCTCTAGCCCAATGTGGGGGCTCAAACTCACAACCCTGAGATCAAGAGTCGCATGCTCTACTGACAACCAGCCAGGTGCCCCCAGAGGCATCTTTTTAAATAAAATAATTATTTGGGGGGCACCTGTGTGGCTCGGTTGGTTAAGCAACTGACTCTTGATATGGGCTCAAGTCATGATCTCTAGATCATGAGATCAAGCCCCACATCCAGCTCTGCACTGAGCGTGGAACCTGCTTGGAATTCTCCCTCTCTCTCTGCCCCTCTCCCGCTCATGCACGCATGCTCTCTCTAAATAAATAAATAAATAGACATTAAAAAAATAATTATTATTTGGAAGTAACCATCTCTAGCATACTCCAATTGCCCACATTGAAAGATTACTAAAAATTAAATAACAACAAAAAATTTTATATTTTATATTTTATACTAAATTTTATATTCTGTGCCTAACACAGAAAGTCATATTTCATGCACATAAAGCACTTGAGAATCAATCATTACTCCTCATAATGATCAGTTATCATTAGATAGCATTAGAAGAAGTCGGAGATACAAAAACTGTGCTAAATATATTCTGACTGTATATTGGTCTCTGGGACTTAGAAAGTATCCCTAATAGCTTTTTCTTAAACTCTCTTAAGATTGAAACTCCAAGTGGACATACTTGCTGGTTAGATGGATTTCATATTCAGATATTAGGAGCACTCATCTATGTCTGACACATGCGCATCTCGTAAAAACTCACAAACCAGGGGCTTTGGGATGACCTAGTGGTTTCAGGAATTCTATGTCTCTGTCCTCTGCTGGCCTCTTGGTACACAGCAGATATGAAATGGAAAAGCTACTGTGGATGGCAAGGGAGGAGTGCAATTCCAGACTGTTCTTCTCTCTCTCCATTTATGGGGCAGGACTAAGTAGACATGACCTTGACTTCATCCCTGTCCAGTCTGCCCTTCTCCATCTCCGTAGGCTCTATCTTACTCTTTTCCTATAGCCTGGAATCCGACTTCTGTGGTGAAATGCTGGAACAAGATACCTTTTGGAAGTCCCCTGCCATGTGTCATCTATGGGACAACTGCCTTTTTTATAATGTTTAAGGTGAGCAAAGGAGAGAGCATTTCCACTCCTAGTTCCTCCAGCAAAAGCCAGAAGTCATACTTCTTAAAAATTTCCCAAAGCCTCTTGTACTTATTTATGGACAGGAGAGGGAGAGAAGAGTTGTGTGTCCTCTGTTCTCCAGTGGACCAGGAAGAAGAGATTCAGCTTCACAAGACAAGTTTTTAAGCGCCAACTTTCTGGAGACTTCTCACCTGATCCCACCCCACCAGGCTTCAACTTCTTGTCATCCTCTGTCAACTTAACTTCATCTACCAAATATATAAAACCCACTGCTTCAAGCCATTGGCACAGCCACGAGTGACTTGAACTGATGGAGTGTGTGTGTGTGTGTGTGTGTGTGTGTGTGTGTGTGTGTGACAGAGGTAAGGAGGAAGCAAAGGAGGAGCAATTTCCATTCTCACACCACTGCCTAAGCCCCACACCACACTAATTAAGTCAGAATCTCTGGGAGTGGAGCCAGTGCATCTGCTTTGTTTTAAAAGCTCCTCAGGAAAAGGAATGAGCTATTAAGCCATGCAAAAACATGGATGAACTGTAAATACATGTTGCTAACTGAAAGAAGGCAGTCAGAAAAGGGTACATGTTATATAATTCCATTTATATGACATTTTGGAAAGGGCACAACTATGGAGATGGTAAACAGATCAGTGGTTGCCAGGGGTTTAGGGAGTGAGCAGGGATGAATAGATGAAGTACAGGGAATTTTTTAGGGCAGTGAAATTATTCTGTATGACACTGTAATCGTAAATACATGACACTATGCATTTGTCAAAATCGATAGTACTTTGTATCAGAAGGAGTGAAACAATGTATACAAATCCGAAAAATCATTTAGGATGTGAGAGAATGCCAGGACAGAATGTAGACTGTGACAGAAGAATCTAACTGTATTACAAATGCATGAAATAACCACACTGAAGGGAGGAGAAGAAAGCACTGACCTAAGTAACTTTGAAATGAATAGAGATCTAAGATTAAAAGCAAAGGAACTGAACATAAGTACTGTACTCTAGTTTGTAAAGTGTTTTCCCTCGGGGCTATGGGTTCACAATTCTGATACTGCTATCCATGTATTCCGCAACTGAATAACTCAGTAAATGGATGATCCATAGTAGGAGCTATGTTTCTCACCCTCAGAAGGTTATTAACACTCAAGGAGAGAAGGCTAGAATGATCCATATAGTAAAGGATAAGAGTTAAAGACATCAGTCTGAGATCATGTCTAGCATAATATAGATTACATGTGTCTTAATATAGATGGATACATATAGGAACATCTATCGCTATGATATACACATAGGTTAGTATATACAGCTCTATTTCCTTCCTCTGTCAGCTAAGAAGCCCAGAAGCAATGACACCCCAGTAGCAGTGAGCACACCTAGTGCCCATATCTTTTCTAATGCCATTCTACAATAAAAGGAACCAAGGTTCCTTGGAGAAATGGTTGATTCTAGGTCTTGGCAGGGAATATACAAATGAGCCCGGAGTACCTTGTACTGCCAGAAGTTAAGGAAGTGCTCAAAACAAGCAAACAAACAAAAAACCCCACCACAATTATGAAGATAAGTCAAGGAGACACAGAAGCCACCTGAAAAAGCTGCCAATGGTAAACACTAGAACAATCTGTGCAACCAAATAGTAGTAATGGTAGTAGTAGTAGTCATTGTAGTAGCAGTAACAGTAGTAGTAGTAATAGTAGTAGTCATCGTAGTAGTAGTGACAGTAGTAGTAAAAGTAGTAGTAGGGGCGCCTGGGTGGCGCAGTCGGTTAAGCGTCCGACTTCAGCCAGGTCACGATCTCGTGGTCCGTGAGTTTGAGCCCCGCGTCGGGCTCTGGGCTGATGGCTCAGAGCCTGGAGCCTGTTTCCGATTCTGTGTCTCCCTCTCTCTCTGCCCCTCGCCCGTTCATGCTCTGTCTCTCTCTGTCCCAAAAATAAATAAACGTTGGGAAAAAAAAATTTTTTTAATAAAAAAAAGTAGTAGTAATAGTAGTAGTAGTAGTAGTAGTAGTAATGGTAGTAGTAGTAGTAGCAGCAATAGTAGCAGCAGCAGAGTTGGGTTATAACCCAAAGTATAAAATAAATATCATGAGGGGCGCCTGGGTGGCTCAGTCGGTTGAGCGTCCGACTTCGGCTCAGGTCATGATCTCACGGTCTGTGAGTTCAAGCCCCGCGTCGGGCTCTGTGTGCTGACAGCTCAGAGCCTGGAGCCTGGTTCCGATTCTGTGTCTCCCTCTCTCTCTGACCCTCCCCTGTTCATGCTGTCTCTGACTCAAAAATGAATAAATGTTTAAAATAAATATCATGAGTCTATGTTGATATAAATGAATGAATAAATGAATGAATGGAGGAGAATAGACAGATCTCTCATGCAGAAGTCCACATAATTTATGTAGATACTCCAACCTTAAGAAGGTTATTGGTTATGTTTTTGGGGGTCAGCTTGGGTAGGCTGTGGTGCTCAATTGTTTGATCAAACACCCATCTAGATACACATACATACACACCCTATCAGTTCCTTTTCTCTGGAGAAGACTCACTGATATTGAGGTAGAGCTTAACTTCCCCCTCCTTATGAATGGGCTGTTCTTCATGATTTCCTTCCAAAGAGTACAAAATAGAAAGGAATAAAAAAAAAAAAAAAAAAAAAAAAAAGAGTAGCTTTATAGTAGAGAAACCTGACAGACACTGCATCACACCAGGTGATCAAGGTGAAAATCAACAGTGATAAGACTGATAGGACGTACCCTTGCTATGGTGTGATAAGAATGTTATCTTCGTTCCTAAAACTCATAACCTCACTGTAATCAAGAGAAAAACATCAGCTAAATTCCCATTGAGGGATATTCCGCAAAATACTCCCCCAAATTGTCAAAGTCATAGAAAAAAAGGGAAGTCTGAGAAACCACCACAGCCAACAGGAGCTCAAGGAAACATAACAACGAAGTGGTGTCCTGAATTGGATTCTGGAACAGAATGAGGACATCGTTGTTTTTGTTTTTTTTTTTTAATCTAATCCAAATAGGGGCACCTGGGTGGCTCAGTGGGTTAAGCATCCAACTTTGGCCCAGGTCATGATCTCACTGCTCATGAGTTCGAGCCCCACGTCAGGCTCTGTGCTGACAGCTCAGAGCCTGGAGTCTGCTTCGGATTCTGTGTCTCCATCTCTCTCTGCCCCTCCCCATCTTGTGCGCTCTCTCACTCTCTCTCTCTCTCAAATATACAATAAAACATAAGAAAATTTTAAAAATATAATCTGGGTAAAGTATGTACTTTATTTCATAATAAGTGTCAATGTTGGTTCATTGATTGTGACAAAGATACCTACTAATGTAAGATGGTAATAATAGGGGAAATAGGGTATATGGTATATGGGAACTGGTACTATCTTCATATCTTTCCTTTACGTATAAAACAATATTTAAATAAATATTTATTTTGTAAAAACCAGCTTCTTAGGGATTCTAATGTGCTGCCAATATTGGAACCACTCTTCATCCACAGCATTGGAAAAATGCAGGTATCCCAGGTTAGAATTCTAAAAACATTGCTTTCCAATGGGATTAGTCTATATGCTCCCTCTCATCACATGGGAAGTAAAAATGATAGAGATGCCTGAGCTTACTCCGGATCTGTGAATCAGAGTCTCCAGAATAAGAGAAAGGGTTAGGCTACAGGTAAGCTTAAAAAGCTTCCTGGGTGACTCTGAACTACAGCCCTGGATAAAAACCTTTCCTCTTGAAGGATTCCTCAATGGGGAGGTTAAATTGGAGGTTATAATTAGCAGTGTACTCTGGGTCCATTTGGAGTTCAGTGGGTTTTTGCCTGGAGACCCTAACTACACTGAAGCGTTCCTAGGAGGAAAAGTGTTTCAAGTTCTAAACCAATGAAGACGCAGTGAAGACTCTATGTCCCAAAGCCTGGAAGTGGTGTTCCTGTGTTCAGAGAATGAATGGTATGCGCTCTCCTTTCTAACAGTGCTCTGTGCATTTCCCCCAAACAGTTCTACAGCGTCAGTGGGATGCCCACAAGGAGCTTGTCAGACAATGTGTGCGCCGTCTGTGGGCAGAAGATCCTTGTGGAGCTCAATGAAGAAGGGCTCATTGAAAACACCTACCAGCTCTCATGCAATCATATGTATCCTTTTCACGGGAAACCATATGGGCTTCATCAAGCCGATGATGGGAGGCAATCTTCAAATAATCTGTGTTGGTCATGGCAAGTCAGGGAGCACTGTCTCATACCTTCCTCCCCTCCTCCTAGCCCCATCTCCTCTGCCTTGCTTAGCTCCCATCCCCAAACCCCAGGTCCTTGTCCTCCACCTTCTCTCTTGCTGAGACTTTCTGATAATCTCTGCTAACTAAGGAACCGCTAACTGAGGTGAACCTCTTTGGCCAGTGATTTCCTTTGTAAAGATGAATCTTCATGCTACCCAGAGAGAAAGGCTGTATGTAGCATCTGCCCAAGATACTGGCTGGGAAAGTTGGCAAAGCCGTACGTGAACAGATAGCCAAGAAGAACCTGGGAGGGAAAGGTGTGGGGGTGAGAAAAAGTGGAGTTTCAGGTTCAGAGAGGAACTCAGAACTGTCCAGGTGGAGCCTCTGAATCTCACAGGACTGAAAACAACAAAGTATGCTGCTTTGCCTAGAAATAATCCTAGGAACTTACTTGTGTCAACAGTGATAGAGGGGTCAACCAGCTATCAGCTCTGGTCTTGGAAAGAAGATAACGTCACAGGCAGCAGGACACCTCGGACTACAAAAGGAGGGACCAAAACTTGAGCATCTAGTTTTTGAACCATGTGGCTCCTCTGTCTGCGAGGTCTGCCCTGAATGGCTGATAGATCTTTAGGTGTTAGGATGCAGACAAGCCTGGGCCTGGAAACCAGCATTCTCTGGGAATTCCAATAACCGTTGAGGAAGACCTCAACATATGGAAAGATCTAGGATCAAGAGTCCTGAAAATGTAACTCTGGATACCAAAGTTGTGTTTGGGTTGGCCGACAACTAGTATTTTAATTCTCTCCTAAATATAGGGGAAAATAAGGTATCATTTATCTTTATTTTATAGTACAATATCAACTTTATAATATTGCTCTGCACTCAGTTCAACCCTCTGGCATTATGAGGTGGTTAGACCATCTGTCTTTTGCCTCTGAAGCCCACCTAACTCAGTAATACTCTAGATGTGCAGCGCCTATGACTCGGTTCTGTTTAATCTGGACAGATTCCATTTATTCAATCCTGAGAGTTAAAAAATGGAGTAAATGCATCTGAAATGCAATAGGAGACCTTACTCCTGATGTTTAAGCCTTACCATTTTAAGGTAAGAAACACAAAAATATCCCATATGGAGTTCTATGGTGGTTTTCCAGTGTGATACCTTTCCCAAAAAACTATCCTTCCAAGTCTGGCCCTAGTTTTAAATACGATTTACTTTTCAAGTGTTGGAACAGAGCCCCTTATGCCATTTGCAAGTGGAAATATTTTCTCTCCCCACCTTTAAAACCCCTTAGGGATTGATGTGCATGTGGGCATATGTAATCTAAAATGTAGTCACTTTTAAATTTGCTTTGCAGGGAGTACTGTTAATGGCCCATTTTAGCATGAATCATATTAGCAAGGAGTGGGTAAACGTGAGTCATATTAACAAGGTGGGGCAGGGGAAGGAATCTGAGTATTGCTCTGCAGCAACTCTGCCAGCTTGGAGACTTTTCAGGATCAAGATTTAAAGATGAGACAGGATATTAAGAGGACATGGACATTTCAATGTTGGCTCTATGACTCCTGAACTCTATATCTATCTGGAAGATGAGGCCATACTCCAGCCCTTTTGAATAAAGGGCTGCAGGGGTTTGGGTTTAAAATCTTTGTTATAATGTTGCACCTGGGTGGCTCAGTCAGTTAAGCTTCCGACTTTGGCTCAGGTCATGGTCTTGTGGTTCATAGGTTCAAGCCCTGTGTCAGGCTCTGTGCTGACAGCTTGAAGCCTGGAGCCTGCTATGGATTCTGTGTCTCCCTCTTTCTGCCCCTCTCCCACTCATTCTCTCTCTCTCTCTCTCTCTCTCTCTCTCTCTCTCTCTCTCTCTCTCTTTCTCATGCTGTCTCTCTCTCTCAAAAGTAAACATTAAAAAAAATTTTTTATTAAAATCTTTTCTATAATACACCACTTTATGTTAATCCAAGCCTTTTGCAAAAATGACCCAATTCCAAAAACGTACAATAGTGGAAACTCTTAGTTACATACACATCTAATATTGAGGAATTATACACATGGTCTTGACTGCTCTACACTCCCATTTATTAGGGAGGAGACTGCTACATCATTGCTGTTCACATGGACATGTAGCAGGCTAGTCAGAAAATCGTTTGATTTTGATTCAGAAAGCTACACTGGGATCAACAATTGTAAAAATAACTAAATAAATAGGATGGATCTCATTACTGTTACTCATTTTGCCCAAATCTACAATGTTGTGGAACCTGAGAAAATATATCTGCAAAAGTAGTTGGTTTTGCGTGATTCACTCAAATATTTGTTTAATAAATAGGCACTTAGGCACTGTATCAGGTGCTAAGGACAGGGAAGAATGAGACCTGGTCCCACAGGTTTCATGTGGTCCAGGAGAGACATGGATATACATGGAATGTCATGCTACAGTGTGATAGGAGCTCTAATGGGAGCAATTGTGGGAAAAGACAGGGTTTGCTCTCAACTTTGGGGGCAAAGGGCCAAACTCTCCAGTCAGGGAAATATATACAAATGAATTTATAAATGCCTAGTATTTCAGAATGTTATTAGGTTTATATTCTATTAAAAATAAATGCCTTCTTATCAGTAACAAAAAAATCTTAAGACTCATAAAGCTAATAGAAATCTCCATAAACTTATGGTTTATGACTACAAGTAACTTAAGCTTGTCTAGGTGCCTAAGACAAGTGTGATTACGTAGTAGGTAATGAGTAAGGCACAAAGCATAGAACAAGGAAACACTATGGTAAATCTATGAGAAATGCACAATTAGCGAGGCAAGGAGATGTATTAATACAGTGCGATGTTAAATATTGCTGTAAAAAAGCACTTTCATATTCTTTATCTAATTTAATTCTTGGGAGAATCTAGTGCAGCAAGAAGAACAGGTAAGGCCAAGAAGCTATGTAAACCTCGCAAGTTCCTAAAGCTGTTACAGCTCTGACTGCAAGCTCACAGTCCTGGGGTTCCATTGGCCTACAGAATCTTCCTGAGAGTGATGTGCACACTCAAGTCATGACTCACCTCCATTCTCACCCTCTACTTCATCCTGCAGATGGGATCATTTCCATTATGCCGTCATGAAGCAGACCTTGCCTCTTACTATCTAGAAACTTCCCTAACGAGATGCTTAAGCTTTCACGAATTCTGCATCCGAGGTTGGTGTATAGTTGGTAAAAAGCAGACTTGCCCTTACTGCAAAGAGAAGGTTGATTTGAAGAGGATGATCAGTAACCCGTATCCTTTAAAAAAAAAAAAAAAGTTGTGAGATATTATGTAAATGTTCTGGTAATGCATTCTTAAATCTAAATATTCATTATCTTCATTACAGTTTTAGCTGAAAGCTTTGTTTTCCCGTATCTATTTCAAAATGACTTACTAGTCTCTTTTCTCCCCTGTGCCTATGTTACTACTCTGGCTAGGAATTTAAATGCCAAAAAAGATACATTATACTCTTTATAGTCCATGTATTCTACTATAAGGGCTTTAGTGGGAATGTGATGGGATATTGCAAGAGATGGGTAAATACATGGAAGGATTAGATAGATAGATGATAGCTATATAAATAGATGATGGATGGATGGATGGATGGGTGGGTGGGGGGTGGATGGATGGATAGGTAGGCAGATAGTTGGATGACAGGTAATGGGTGGATGGGATGAGTGGGTGGGTATATAAATATATAGACGGGAAATGAAATTTTAAAATCCCCAAATGTGAACTAGTATATAGAAAAGTATTTTTAAGATATACTATAGTTTATTATTTCCAGAATGAGTAAGGTTATTTTCCCCCTGGATTTGGTCTTTTAAATTCCTTGCCATGCCTCATCTTGTCTTAGGCTAAACCCTAGTGATAATAATATTGAAAGAAAATGAGGAACTACAGACAGCTTATGGCAGCAGCTAGGATTTTTATAGACCCCAAGGTTCTCCAACTGAGGCCACAGGAAGCCTCAGTGGCCCCATCCAGAGCTGACCACAAAGACTTAGTCCTCAACCCCACTGGCTCAAGACCATAATATGGTAAAACCTTAGTTTGCAAGCATAATTCATTCTGGAAACATGCTTGTAATCCAAACCACTTGTATATCGAAGTGAATTTCAAGAACCATTGGCTCAGTTGTGATCATGTCACGTTCAGTGTCACGTACTACTTGTATTGCAAGACAATGCTCGTTTATCAAGCTAAAACTTATTAGAAATGTTTGCTCATCTTGCGGAACACTCACAGAACAAGTTACTCACAGTCCAAGGTTTTACTGTATATCTCTTCCAGGGGTTAAGTGGGATTGAAACATAGCCCCACCTTCAGCAGCAAACATTGAGAGGTTGGCATCAACCTGCCAAGTACTGTCTCTCCTCGTAAGAGACAGCCTTTCCAGACTTTCTGTGTACCAGTCACCTAAATTTTACAGTGCTGAAGGAGACACCTCCCTTGTTCCCTCTCCTCCTACTCTTTACCAACCCTGAATGTACAGTTTTAACAATGGCTGCCAGGGGCAATGCCCACACCTCTCTGATGACCGCAAATCAAGGAAAGATTTGCAATTAGGGCAGCAGAGGAGGGAGCATCTTTTTGTCTCAGGGCCATGCCACAACAAGAGAGCACCTCTGTGGCCACCAGCTCCCTCTGGTGTGTGATGCTCCCCCCTCCTTCCAGTGCATCCGCTCTCTCTGAAGTTCCCTTCTGATAGGAGGAAACCAAGTCCCGAACTGCTTTTGGTTAACAACCTATAAAACTAAAATATATGCAGCTTTGTTATAATGTTGGTGATGATATGATCATAAATGTCACCTTAAATGCTCATTTAAATAACAAAGGACCATCGGTTACTCCATACAGTCTTGAGAGAATAAGCTTTTGAATATTACATGTACTCCTTTTATTGAGAGTCAGTAAAAAGAAAAGCTTCTTGGGGAATATTTGCCTTTATGTATGTAACATTGCTATTAGAGATATTATGTGTTAATTACATCCCCTTAGCACAATTTATCAAAGAAACCGGAAAAAGCATATCTTATCTGTGATGGTTTTCTTTTCAATACAGTGCCGAAGGCTGTTTTGGCTCACTTAAGGAAGTTTCCATGATCCTTGGTTTCCAGTGTCGTCATCTTCCTCTTCCTTTCTCTGTTAGTATATGACCCTTGCCTTTTGTTGTTTTATAGTTTGAGATTTTATTGTAATCTGTTTTATTGTTGGAAATTTGGTGTAATGTAAATAACAGTGATAATCAAATGCTATAAAAATCACATAAGGGGCTTTTAAATGAGCATACAAAATTAAGAGGAAAGGAAATACTCATTGCATTGTTGATTACATTTGCAAATGATATTCATGAATATTTGTGCTACTTGACTGTATATAGAGCAACCTCCTTAACTGAGATTTAGCTGGGAGCGCACACACTTTTTATATGGACAAATCCTGGATTGGCTTCGTTATTTGGTGGCCTGGCAACCCGTGGTGATTGGAATAGTTCAAGGCATTAATTATTCACTAGGGCTGGAATAGTACAGCAGACTTACTCCAGAAGCAATGTGTTGCATGTTGAAATATTTTTAAATCCTTGATCCTACACTTAATATCGATATTCTTTTTTTTAATTTCAGAGGTGATCCCAAGAGTTTAGAGAACTGAGCCTTACCTAAGCAGTCTGTCTATGTGGAAAGAATTTAGAGAGAAGCTGAATGTCAAAAGTTCAGAAAAAAACCAAAAGTGAAACCAATGAATCTGTGAAGTAGCAATTAGTAAAAATTTATTGTGCACACATCTAAAAGATAGTTTGCAAACCAGGAGCACTCAGACCAAAACACAGAATGAGGCTCAGCGCTATATGTTATAAAGCAGCTTATATAGTGTGGAGGCAGTGACTGTTTATTCTTCATGGTGATTGGTTACAATACGGGAATTTTCTTAAATGAAAGGGAATTGGTTAGTGATCACCTCATCTCAATTTGGGGAGAACAATTTAAGTTTTGCTTATGATTTTCAGAGGTGTAAGCAAGAAGTGATCTCGGTCAAGTTAGCTTTGCTTGTTCCGCAAATTAAGCTAAATTAAGCTTTGCTTGTATGACTAACCTGGTTTTGTCCACTGAAGGAGTTTTCAAGTCTGGCCTCTGTTTGTGTTTGGTTTTAACATGAACAACAGAATAAACAAATAGAGCACACTTTGCATCTTTCCCCTTGTGATCATTTTCTAATTGATGCATGCAGCCCATTTGTTAGCACCCGCCATGGACATCCTACCTCTAATTTGGCTGATAATGTACTTCTTACATACAACATTTAGTTACAACTGGTATCTTCTAACCAGTTCAACATCTTCAAGGACGTAGGCAGAGTTGTTAAGTAATCTACAGTTCAAGGAGATTACTGCAGCTTTGGCACCATAAAGGCCTCTGTGTACAGGGCATTATTCCCAAAATGTCTAGCACTAGGTGCCACAGCCCAGCCCATTCAAAGGGCCTGAGCTGCACTGCGTTTCCCGGGCCTGCCAAGTGCACTTGACCCATCCAAGGGTTGCATTAAAGTGGAGGAAAACCACTCTCTTCTTTTGTGCCACTCTGTTCACATGCACGCATGCACACACACACGCGCACACACCATCACTGTTGCTGTACTCTGCTTTTATTTTCTTCATAGCACTTATCAACACCTGAAATCATACCATACATTTGTTTGTTATTGTTTGTCTCCCCTTCCAGGAAGGCAGAGAATTTTATCTATTTAGTTCCCTGTTGTATCTCCAGCACTTGGAGCACTGGCTGGATATAATAGGCACTCAGTAATTATTTGCTGAAAGAATAAATTAATCCAGCAGGAGGGGGTAAAATTAATGGAATAGGAAAGAACTGTCCAAAAGAATTAACTCAAGAACGATAGACTCCCCAAATTAATTTGTTTTAAATTGCTGGTGAGTTGTTGAACAGCGACCACCACACACATATCAGACATCTACTCTGCACACTTGAAGACATTATACTTGTATGAAGTAGAAGGAAACACACCTACTATCAAAAACGTAGGCCATGTTCTTAATGCTATTCAAAGTTCTATCACAACCATAATGAAAAAACTCACACTCAGATTTTTTCTACCTGTTGGTAATTTTCCTTCTTGAAACTTCCCAATGCTTCAGTATTATGATTGACTCACCATCCAGATTATTAGATTGAACTCTGATTTATTTCCCTATTCAGCAAATATTTCATTAATTCAATGCTTATTCCATACCAGGCATGGGCAACGATTAAGGAGAGAAAACAAGATTCCTGAGCTTATAGTCTATTGACAAATAAAAACACGTCACTGTTGGATAAAGCACTACCTTAAAGTGTTTTCTTCTATAAAAGGAGCCCTTAAATTGACCTCTGATGCATTTCCCATTTATCTTTTATGAACAGCTGCAGGAGGATAGCCTTTAGAACCCTTTGCAACTCAGGGAGAGTAAACCATATGTGTCTGCATAGAATTCTAAATGACCCTCAGAGTTCAGAAATGTTGGATAATCACTAAACAAGCTCACACAAAACAATAAAGATGCCATTCCCTTCATAGTTTAGGCATTGAAAACCTCATCCCAATTTTTTGAATATGTATATATACGTTGAAAAAATTATGGAGAACTATACACTACACAGTTACCAGTGGTCATCCCAAGGTGAAGGGGGAAGAGTGGATTCGTTCTTTCTATGCTCTTACCTCGTGTCCGAAATTTCTACAGTGAACATGTTTAACATTTGCAATGAGAAAAATAAAGATTATTTTTATATTACTTCAAATCTAGCAATTAACCATGGAGCTATTTCTATTGCTGTTTAAATTACTGAAATTAAATCTACAGACCAAGTCCATGTTAAATTTATCTGGTTCTCATGATAATTAACATTGTACTTAATGGAGGACATAGAGAAGTAAAGCAAATAGTCCATAATTGCCTTTGGTTTCCGTAGCATCTCAAGTTTCCTTCTCCTGAATTTGTCCATTTTTTTCTTAGACTAGCTACTGTTTCCTCCTTCATACTTCCCAGGAGTTGTTATGAGAGAGAAGAAACACTGTGAGTTTCCCCAGGCCTAAAATCTGCTATGCACTTCATGAATTTATTTCTCTGGGATATTTTTCTACAAAAACAAAACAAAAACAAACAGGGTCCCTTGTATCACTGCTAGTACCCATAAGAGAAAAATATACATTTATAAACTATAATCTGTAAGATGAATCACTTCTTGGGGAAAAAAATAATAGCTAACATCCACTACCGGCATCCCTATTACCCGACGCAAACTTCCATGGTTCCCGTTCTCAGAGGTTTGGTCCTCTTGCCCCCCTCACCCCTCCAGAGGGAGTGGGAACCAAGGGGCATGCACTCATTGGTTTACTTACCCTGCTGTACATTCAGACCTACATCATACCCTCTGATGTAGATATTACTGTTCCTATTCTAAGGGCAGGAGAATATTTGGGGACAGGTTAAGTGACTTGCCCAAAGATACGCATCTACTGACCCAGGTTTTTCTGACTCCAGAGCTCAATGAAGCACATGAACCCAGTCCTGGCTGAGAACTAAGCAGGTCAGGTCATTTCTACTCGGTCATTTCTATTCGGGTCATGATCTCACAGTTTGTGAGTCAGAGCCCCACATGGGGCTCTGTGCGGACAGTGCAGAGCCTGCTTGGGATTCTCTTTCTCGCCCTCTCTCTCTGCCCCTCCCGTGCTCACCTTCTCTCAAAATAAATAAACATTAAAAAAAAAAAAAAAAGAACTGAGCAGGTCAGAGGAGGTTAGCTTCCTTTCACATGTGGTTCCCAACTTAAGAAATTTGTGTCGAATCAGCAAATAGTTCTTAGCTTAATTTATTTCATTGCATTAAATGCAAGGTAGTATTAACTCTAGCTTATAAAAATTAACATATGGAAGTAGTATCTATCTTTTAAATTATTGTGTACCAAATATTTTTTGAGTCACACTGAGGAATTGCTAGGCATATACTTGTTTAAAGATCTACTTACTTCACATGTGCTTTTGTAAATGTTCAGAGGAAAAGAGAGCCTTTTTTAGAATCAGAAACAAGACTTTTTCAGAAGAAAAAAGCAAGATGCTGCAGGAGAAATGGATGAGAAGACAGGGACCGAGAGTCAGAGTAACTAGACACTAATCAGAACTTCACCCAGAGGTAAAGGCTGAAGGAAGATTAGAGTCAGGGATGTGGGAGGCTTCCTTCGTGGTCTTCTAAACTAAGTATTTCATTCACACTTGACCCTTGAACAACACAGGTTAAAACTGCATGGGTCTACTTATGCTCAGATGTATGGTTTTCTTAATAAGATGTTCTTTTCTCTGGCTGACTTTAGTGTAAGAATACCACATACAATAATATATATAACATACAATATGTGTGTTAATTGGCTGCTTATGTTATCAGTAAGGCTTCCAATCAACAGTAGACGACTAGTAGTTAAGGTTTGGGAAGTCAAAAGTTACACACACAGATGTTTGAGTGTGCAGAGGGAGGGGGTACATTACTGCCCCTAAGCCCTGCCTTGTTCTAGGTCAACTGTACTTCATTAGTTTAATTTTCATGGGAAGCCACAATTTACTGTATATTGTGTTATATATACTTTCTCAAGTAACTATGACTGGAGAAACCTATCAAACACCCAGAAAGACAGACCCAGTTCATGTGAAAATACACCATCTAGGTACTTTGCATACTGTAAAGTTTAATGCGGACTCAAGGCACTTCTTTCTAGGAACAGCAACAAGTTTGGCTGAGTGCACCAACCTTTTGCCTTCTTGTTCTTGAGAGCAGTCACACAGTGAGGAAACAGCTAAGTGGGGTAGAGAATGCCATCTGCAGACATGCATGAATATCCTTGCAGAAAACTGACCAACACATTCATGGGAAATCTGTTCCTTCGTGCTATTTCCTAATGAACTAAACCAATTGCTACAGATAATTCAGATGTCGATAATGGACTCAGATCATGATCATCTCATAGGATTAATAAAAAGCCAAGAGCATTTAATTTTTAATCTGGTAGTTTTTATAAAACAGCACTCTAGAGGCACCTGGGCAGCTCAGTCAGTTAAGCGTCCGAGTCTTGATTTCAGCTCAGGTCATGATCTCACAGTTCGTGAGTTTGAGCCCCACATTGGGCTCTGTGCTGACAGCACAGAGCCTGCTTGGGATCCTCTCTCCCTCTCTCCCCGCCCCTCCCCCCCCCCCCCAAAAATAATAATAAAACATTTAAAAGAACCAGCACTCTAGACAAAATATGAACAGTTTTAGTGGTTTTAGTAAGCAAGCCTTCAAATGACAGTGCATTTATGTGGTCCACCTATAACTGTCAGAATGGACTCAGCTACAACTAGTGATATAAAGACCACCACCAGACCAAGACTGGCCTTTAATGAAGGAACCTAGGACTTTATTGCAGTTCTCAAGTTTAACCAAAACCCTTGCTGCTGAGCTTCGTCTGTGGGCCACTCCAGGTAGGTCTTGGTGTTCATTATCTTCCGCAGCTTACAGAAACGCTGGGGGATGGTCTTTTTCTCAATGGGCTCCAGAAGAATGAGAATGACAGCATCGTTGT